CTGCATGCAGCTGGTAAGTCTGGTGTGGTGGGAGGGGGCATGGGGGTGCAGATCAACACCCTCTGGTAAGCAAGGGGGTGGGGGCTTCTCAGCCAAGGCGGGGCACAGGATGGAGCTGTGGCTTATTTGGGGTGGGGCGGGGAGTGGTGTAGCATGTGCCTCTGGATCTGGGCAGGGCGGGCAGGCTGCCGCTGCGGGCTGGAGCCAGGGCTGGGTTGGGCTTGGGGCAGGGGCTACAGAGGGGGCTGCAGCCACCCCAAATTTCCCCTTAGCCCTGCTCTTGGTGCTGCCATGCACACGGTGCAGCCCCGGCTCTTCCTGGCACATGGGTGGAGGCGGAGAGTTGATCTGGGGCTGTGCTGGGTGTGTAGTGGTGGCGGCGCTGCGAGTGGGGCTATGGCGAAATTTGGGGTGGCTGTAGCTCCTGCTGAGAACAGCCCTGGCTCCAGCCCACAGCTGCAGACTTCCTTCCCTGCCCCACGCAGATCTGGGGGCATAATTCCCCCCCCGGTGCCCTCTTAGGGTGCAAGCGGCAGTGGGATCTGCCCCCCTCCCCCTTGACAAGCCCTGGCTCTGTCCTGTGCCCCGCCCTGGCTGGGCAGCACCTGCCCCTGTCCCCTTCCTCACTTCAGGGGGGCCTTGATCTGCACGCCCCTTCCTTCCCCTCTCCCCTTCCACCACAACAGACTTATCAGCTGCATGCAGCTGTATTGGAAATCAGATTGGTATCAGCTGATATGCCTCCTTAAAAATTGGCTATTGGTATCGGCCCCCAGAAACACTATTGGTGCACCCCTAATGAATAGTCAGGGTAAACACTTTGAAAGTCAGTTGGTACTTCATCTAAAGTAACCACAGGATCCTAAATTACATAAGATTTTTTTTTTTAGAAACTTTACCCTTTGTTTACTACTTCATCCTTCCATTAAAGTAGACGTACACAACTACCTTTCTTCAAAAGCACTTGGCATGTGTGGTAGCTTATCTGCTTTTTAAAAAGCCTGGAAGAGCTATTTAAAAGACCTAAATCTAAAATATTCAGCAAAATGGGAAAGGTCAAACTTGAGAACAGCTTGGAGTTCAGGTATGTTTGTCAGATTTCACTCATTTAAAGAGGTACGGATGCTGCTGCTGCTGCTTTTAACTGACATCCTGTCTTCAAATATCTGCAATTTAAATAGGTGTTTACAAAAGTGAAAGGAACTGTTTTGTAATGTCAGGATTTTTAAAGGCCTTAGTCACTATATATACTTCCATGATGGACTGCACAAGTCTATAATATGTAAAGCAAACAACTAGTTTCTGAAACTTAGCTGCTTTAATGGTATGAAGATGAAAACAGGGTAAAAGTTTTTTTGGTGGGTTTTTTGTTTACTTTGCAAATTCTGAAGGCCCTACCCTATCTTGCTAAGGTACTGGTGGTAGACTGGACTTTCCTTACAGAGATACTCTTGCTGTTCTTTTGAGGGGTTACTCTTCTCTAATTATCTTAGAAAATTGCCTTCAAGTTGGTAAAATTAATTCTAAAGAGGTGGCTGAATTATTGCAAAGCATAACTAGTCTCACCCTTTGAGGATCAGAAACCCTCTTGGATGCGGTGTGGTGAATTAAATTAAGGAATGAAACGGTCTTCCTTTGTCAGAAGACAGAGATGAACAGAATTGTGTCACTTGATTGTGAAATGCTGTTAAGTTGGGATTGCCATGATAGGACTGTTTTTAAGACCTCCATTTGGGGGAGGGAGGCAGCTATTAAGTAAATATTCAAATTTAAATTATCAAATGAACACAAGATACACTTTATTTAATCAGGACCCAGTACCACAACAGAGACTGAAACCATTGCGAAGTATGAAATCATGGATGGTGCACCCGTTAAAGGTAAATATTTATGTCTGGAGTGGAGATGATCATAGTATCTAAAATGGATTTGTATCTAAAGATGAGTTTGCTTTTGTATGGACAGAGTTGGTTATCTTGGAAAACTAAATGTCTAATTGGGTTATAGAAGTGATGTGTAACGGAATATCCAGAACTGGTAGTAGAGTAATTGTGGTGATCTACAGATTAGGGCTTCATTAATTTCCTGGGATCAGAAATTCATTCCTCTTCTAACCCCAGCAAAATCTGTATCTGTGGATGCTTAAATTTTGGGTTCTCATTCGAACTTATCTCTACTACACTCAACTACCTATTTAGGTAGTTAAGAATTTCACCTTCTCTTACCTGGTTGTATTGCTTCCGTTTTTAAAGTTCTGACACAGTATTTCCATCTCTATTCTTCATATCTGCCCTTTGAAAGCAGACTTTTTCACTAGGCTTCTAAGCATTTGTCAGGGCATAAGCTTACAACTAAGTGCTCTAAGGCAGGGGTAGCCAACCCATGGCACACGTTCAGCAAGTAGCACAAACAGCCTGTGTCTGAGATGCATGGCAGAATGGGGAGAAAGCAGGGAGAACAGCAGTAGGTAGGGGAGGAAGCACAGCAACGCAACAGATTCAGCAGGGGAAGGGAATTGGAGTAGCACTCGGAGAATACCAGGGCTTAATTTGTAGCACTCCTGCCAAAATGGTTAACCCCCAACTGCTTTAAGGGATCGTGGGTAGCAGTTGAACTATAAATATTTGGTTGCCTCTAAACTAGGTGGGAAATATTTCTTTAGGTCTGGTATAAATAGGAAATTTTATACTAGGCTAGCTGAACTTGTGTTTGTTTACTTATTGGGTTTTTTAAAGAACCTATTCTAGCTGAATTGGATCAACACTGTTAAATAGGCTAACATAAGTCTGCTCCAACTCCTGTGCTGGAAACCCTCACGTTGACTTAACTAGTCATAAATGTGTCCCTGCAGGAGTAGTCTTTAGTACAAATTTGTGTGAACAAGTGCTTGGAAAATTTATCCTTTCTGGGATATGGCAGCAAGCACCTTGAGAGCTGGAGATCACCAAGACTTGGTGCATCCAATCAGTGAAGCAGATCTGGTGCAATTCTGATTTTTTTAAAAAAGATGTGCGTTACTTCAGATACAAATTTGCTTGTAGAGAAGAGATTGGGGAAGACAGGCTAGGACTAGAGGGAGAGAAGGATCAGGAATTAAATCTGAGAACTAATGGGAGACAGGAAAACAGTAGATAAATCAGGAGGGGAGGATTAGATAGCTTTTTTAGGGAGCCTCTTTGTTAGCGGTAGATTAAGCCGCCCTTTCTGATAAGGATATTTAGAGGCAGCATTGCAAAAATTTCAGCTGAAACTTGCATCCATGACACACATTCATGTGTTTAAGACATGGCTAAAGAACACTGACTGATCAGTGATGAATTATGTTGCTGACCATGAGCTAGCAGCAGCCGTTTTTCAAATAGTTTTATAAGGCTCAGACTTTCTCTGTGCCTTCTTTTGATAGATACCATTGGCTAAAGGGCTCTTAAAAACTACTACTCAACCTATAGCAGTGGTTCTTCTTGCAGATGACCTCTGCCTTTAAAATCTGTAGAGTGTATTTGGGTAATTGCCAGGTTCCCCACAACTGAGTCGTATAGTCTGTGAACTATAGTCACATAATTAGTTTCACTTTGGAGGAACTTAACTTCCTTTGTTTTCCCACCCTCTCTCTTAAGGTGAATCAATTCCTATAAGACTCTTCTTGGCAGGCTATGACCCAACTCCTACAATGAGGGATGTGAACAAAAAATTTTCTGTGAGATACTTTTTGAATCTAGTGCTTGTAGATGAAGAAGACAGACGATACTTCAAACAACAGGTACAGTGTTGTGCAAACTAGAATTTTGTTGCATGGTCATTTCTAGAACTGTGTGGACAGATTTAAATGTTCCTACTTGGAAGTGTAAACAAGTTATGTCTTCATGCTTTGAATGGAAAAAGCATGTCTTTTATTTCTGGCTTTCAGCATATCTAACACTGTACAAAACACTTTACAAGAGGTGTTATAAGTAGGGACCTGGCTAAATCATGGCAGAAGTTCATGGTGCAACAGCACTTCTAATTTTGTATTTGGCTGCATACCTCCCCTCCCTGCCAGTGAGTGGCTGAGGGGCAAAAACTGTGGCATGATTTGCTTTTTGGCCACTCAGTGGATGGGGGGTGAGGTGGGGCACGCAGTAAAAAGAGCAAAATAAAGGCACTGCTGTGCTGCAGACTTCCACCACAACTTGGCTAGGTCCCTAGTCCATAAGGGGTAATGTATGTTACTTCAGTGAAGAATGGTTTCGGTTCTGTAAAATACAGCTGATACCCCTTTTACATAAACAAACAAAAAAAACCCTAAATGTTCAGAAAAGACCATGAACATAAAAATTGCTTTCTGTGACTAAGGCAAGGACTTAGGGTGATATCTTTCATTGGACTAACTGTATCTTCGGGAGATAGCCAGACAAGGTTTCAAATGCAAAACTAACTATCCCAGTTATATAGTTGGTCGGATGAAAGAAATCCTTATCTCTTGAATAATTCCTGGATCATTACAACTACAATGTCATTCTTACATTACCACTTCTATGACTAAGGGATTTGTTGGCACTTTAAAAAAAATTAACTTTGTATTTAATGTGAGAGGGTTAATGCTGAGTGAAGAAACACAGGGGCTGAGAGTGGTCCTAAGCATAAAATGACAAATGTGAGGCTGTGAGGAATATATTGAGGGAGTGAAGATGGGCCCTTTTGTGTGATTTCAAGAGGGAAGTAATATAGAGAAACAGCATTTAAATAGTGTAGACAAGGCCACAGGAAGTTTGAAGTTAAGCAGGAAGTAGGGAAACCAAAAGGGTTAGAGGGAAATAATGAAGTCCAGATTTTGGGAGGGAGGATGCAGATGCTCTACTTGTTTATTTGCTTAATGATGCAGACTGGGAAAGTGGTGGACTGGAGGAGCCAAGGTTAGGGGATGACTCTGTAATCAGGAGAAGTTGCAAAATATATGAACAGTCTTGAATGTTCTTGAACTATTTTGCCTCTGTGAGTATCTCTACCTGAATTCATAGAAAAAACAGCTTGCTGTATAGTTGAGGTGAAGATGGAAAGTAATTTGGAAACACTGCATCAGTAGAGGCTTATGATTTGTATTGTGATCGGGGGTTAATACTTTAAACAAATATGGATGCTAAATGAGTTTTTGCTTCCCTAAAATAGGAAATAATTCTGTGGAGAAAAGCACCTGAGAAACTGAGGAAACAACGAACTAACTTTCACCAGAGATTTGAATCTCCAGAATCGCAAGCATCTGCTGAGCAGCCTGAAATGTGAACTGGTGTAAGGTGAAGAACATTTGTGACACTTCAGCAGGTTAAAGATGGTGGCAGCCTGTAGGAAAAGAAGGCCAAAATTCCCATTACAATTGTCTTCCTTCATCTTACAGTGCTGCATTTACCATAATACTAAAGCATTCTTCAGTTAAACATTCAAGTATGTATATACCTTCAAAATAAAAGTGCTTTCTCAAACACTGGAACTTTCTTAAGCTACTATTTTATACTGCACATTTTATTATTTGATAATGTTATGCACTTGGATATGCATAAAGCTTAAGCTAGTAACTTCCATGCATGTAGGCTGGTGTATTTAATTTTTGCTTGTCACTTATGAGGTATTGACTAAAGTGTTTTTTTTTTCCCCCCTCCCATGTCACTTACTGCACGCATACCTCCAGTGTTGCTTATCTGCCTCTGTCTTAAAACTAACAGATAAGTACACTTGTTTCAATTACACTAAAAATTCAGGATTTATGATGGACCTTTTTTGTTCAAAAAATATTTAAAGTAGTCTAGATCATATACACATTGCAAACATAATCTGTGTGGAGGCTTCTGAGATCATGCCATGGTTCTTGGAGGCTTTGAATATCATATCTTTAACAGGAATATTAATATACACTGTTCCCAAGAGGAGCCTTTCAAGTGTTTGATTTCATTCTAGCACATTTTTCTTAAAATTTCCATGCTAGCAATGGTCTGCTCACAGATTCAATGATCACTGCTAATTAGTTAATGACAGGGCTGTTCTTTGTCTCCCTGTTGCTTTTTCACTCAGAGATGATAGATGGATGGAAGTGTTTTAAACATCCCTGTCACTTTAATCATTGAAACAGAAAAAAGAGTGGATGCTTCCACATAGTGGAAAACTTTCCGGCTGTGAAAACAAACACAACCTGTCTACTCCCTCCTGTTCCAAGTTGAAAGACATCTTACAGTAGGTACATGAGTAGTGCTAGGTACACCCAGAACCACTGTGTGCATGCCTGAAATTGAGAACCTGACAGCAGTGATGGGTGTACGCCAAAAAATGGCTTTCTGATTGATATCTTTTGGTATTTGGTACATCTGGAACAGCAGCAAGTGGCAGGGCATGTTTTCGTGGCAGTGCTGCTTAGCCCCATTTTTTCTTGGTGTCGGCGTGTTCAGTGTAGTGATCTCAAAGCTATAAAAAGTTACATGCAGAGCTTACCTAGTTCGTGGATGTGTACATCAAGCCTCACTTTCACTGCCTACTCCCTTGCTGTTCTGAAGGAGGAGGAAAAATAACAGACTTTCAAATAACATTTTCATTTTAGTCCTTTTAAGTCTGTTATGATGTGGGGGTGGGGATGAGCTGCTTTCAAGGAAAACTTGTTTTTGGTTTCTCTTCGTTTTTAGTTGTGCTCCAAAAAGTTAACTTGTCAAAACAGATCACTGAATCTTTTTTTTTGTGCATTTGAGTCTGAACAAACTGCTTGAACAAAATAGCCTCAATCTGTTCACAATTGAGCATGTAGTTTGTTATCAGACATGTGACTAGGGCACAAAATGAAGCCTGCTGTATGGAAGACTGTGCGCTTGTAGTTCACTTGGCCTATAAACCAAGACTCTTTCTAAACTTCAGTGCAAGTGTCATTGGTAACCTTACTTTATGAGTAAGCAAAGTAATTGAATTACATTTCTGTAAGAACTGTTTTCCTACTTGGCACTTTGATAAAGCAGACAAAAGATTCTCTTTACTTTGTGCAAGGGTATTTCTCTTAAATGTGGATGTCTTTTGAATGAGAGCAAATTTAACTCCCTCATGTAAGTGCCTGTTCAGAAATGAAAAAGCCAAATATTTTCATGGTCACTTGCATGTTGTAATCTGGAAAATATTCCAAGAGATTTTGAAAACTGATTGTATTTAACCAGCCTCAGATTGTGCAACTGTGTATAATAACTGAGAAACATACTGAGCCGCTGTTTGAATTATTAAAATAGCTGTATTCTCACTAAAACATTTTGGAGTGTCTTTGTTAATGGAGATGTATAGTGTATCTACTGAAATCTACTACTTGAAGCGGGTTTGAATATAGTTTTATGAATAAAAACGGGTTTTGTTCAGGAAGACTTCATGGTATATGGCACTTCTTAAAGTACAGTAATGGTATGTTGCTAGCTTTAATTTATTCTACATCAGTAAGAATCTACTTCCTCTGACACCTGTTCAAGAACCCTTGGGAACTAAGTTAGTGGTCTTAATTTTATTTTTTTAGTGTTTTCTGGCAGTCCCATCTGTGGAAGAAATCAAACTTTGCGTTGTGGTTAAATCAGAACGGACAGAGCCAGCTTCTTTTTATTTAGGGCTATACTGTGATCACAGGGAGAATTCCATACAGCAAGGGGAATCGCCCACTTGTCTGTTTCGAAGGATTTCTCGGACTCTCTAAGTTTACAAGCATATTTATACTTAAGACAGAGAAAAAGAAAATAAAATATGACCTTGGTCAGTAAATTACTGATCTAACACACACACAGAAGTACAGGCTGTTTACTTAGAGGAGAGTGAAACATTGTGTTAATAGAAATAGTTATCAGTTTCTGGTTTCTCAGAGAGAAAAATAAACTTAACATCCATACACAGGGTAATATATCAAGACAAAAGCAAGGCGTGCAGGATTTCTTATCTCAGAACATTTAACTGAAATAAGCAGTATCAGCACTTCTGGTCTCTGTCTGTTTTTCTAGTCAAGTAGGCCAGAAGCCCAACTAAATTTATTACCACACATCTGAATTATAATATACCTCTGAAGAGTCAGGCTGCATGACAAACCTAGAGACTGAGAATAGTTTCTCAGCCTGGGTTTGTTTGCACTTTTTTAAAGCAGTGTGTGAAAGCCTGTTACACTTCCATTACTGAGCTGGCTCAAAACTAATTGTGACTGAAGGTTTTTGAGTCTAGTGTGGCTTTTTCTTCTAACAACAAAATTTGGTTCTATTTTACAATTGCACATGCATAAAACATTTTGTTCTCTGTTATACATGCACAAAACAATTACTGCACAAATATCAGATTTGGTTCAGTTTTAGGTCTTTGAATTCAAAGCCTGGACAACCAAAAACAACACTTCAGTAAAGAAACGGTGACATCTTAATCAAGGTAGTTTTATTAACAACTATGTTTCTTTCTTGAAATGGAGGCTCAGATAGGCCTGTTAAAATTGTGAGTCAAGCTCCTTTAGACCATTTCAAACTGGCTACTATGTTAACAATCTGAAGTATTAAGTTACAAAAAATCTTGGCTGTTTTAGAATTGTGGATGCTGCTTGTCAAAATCTTAATGGTACTGTATAGTTTATGGGAAAACCAATAGTTACTAAATGGCTGATTCCCCCCCTTTTCAGGTTACTTAATTATTTTGGTATTTGTTTTTAATTAATTGCCTAACCTATCCTGTTTGTACTTTAATGTGGCTGTCTGTCACTAGGAACATCAGCCCCGTAAATTTTTTTTTTTAATGCACAAATTCTTCCCTGAATCATATGGGGGCTCAGTTTAGCTATTTCTTAGGTTTTGCCGGATGGCCTCCCTCTGACTTTTTAGACTAAAGATATCTTTCTCCCCCCCCCATGCCTTTTACTCAATGTTGTGCTCTAAAATAGGGATTATACTTTATGATGGTACCTGTCACTTTTGCAGACTGAGCAATAAATGAAAAATGGGAGTCCTGAATGCTTTCCCTTGCCCTCTGATACCCCCATTCATCATACTACAAAACAAGAGCATGGCTGCAAGTGTCTCTATCAGAGAAGGCTGCAGAGTCCAGGGGCTGTGAAAGCTGCACTGTAGGAAAGCAGATGGGGATAGATGTAGGTGCTCTTCGAGTAGCAGAAAGCCTTGCTGGGGGGTTGGCCAGAGCACCTGCTAGGCCGCGGACTGGGCAGACATTTATAACTTTTGTATCGGGTTTGCAAATAAAGGATGTTTTCTACGTAATCTGTTTGACCTCCCGCGCTGCCCTCGCTGGGGAGGGAGCTGGGAGTCGAGGGCAAGCGCGGAGCTGGCTCGCAGCGAAACGTCCTACCCCTGCTTGGCGCAGGTGCTCGGGGCGGGCTGGGGAAAAGCCTGGCGCCGAGCTCGGAGAAACCAACGCGGCTCCGGCAGCAGCGGAAGGTGCCGCGCAGGCCCCGGACAGCATTACTCGGCCCGGCACTCAGACACTCGGCCAGTGCGGGTCCGCGCCAGCAGAGGGCGGCAAGGGGGGCGGGGTCTGCGGCTGCGACCAGCGCGCACACACCATCCCCCTGTTTCCCCTGAGCCGGCTGCCGGGTCCTGCAGCGCTGCGGGTTGGCCGCGCTGCCTGTGTCGGGGTTCATGCCCTAGGAGAACGCCGGGCCAGCAGCGTGCAGGCGGCAGGCGGGGACCGCTCCGCTTTTCTCAGGCATAGGTTAGCGCGGCTCCGCCAGTACTTTCGCTCTTCGCATTCCCCTGTTCAGGCAGCTGGCGGACAGCCCTTCTCGGGGCCTGGGGCACTCCGTGATGACGCCACAGCAGCTCCCTCTGGCTGGGAGCAGCACGGCCTGGGAGCTATGTGATGACGCCATAGGTACGGCCCGCGTACTGCCTGGAGAGTTGCCCTGCGCAACCCCGAATGTCGGCGCCGCGCGCCGCGTGGATGCTGTGGCGGCTCCCAGTCCGCGCGCGGCCCTCCCTGCACCATGCCGCCGCCGCC